AACACCCAACCAGAAAAGCTAAATGAAAAAAGAATCCAAAAATACAAAGATAGTGTAAGGAGCCTCTGGGACAGCTTCAAGCGTACCAACATCCGAATTATAGGGGTGCCAAAAGGAGAGAGAGAGCAAGATATTGAAAAACTATTTGAAGGAATAATGACAGAAAACTTCCCCTACCTCGTGAAAGAAATAGACTTTCAAGTCCAGGAAGCACATAGAACCCCAAACAAAAAGAATCCAAAGAGGACCACACCATAATTAAAATGCCAAGAGCAAAAGACAAAGAGAGAATCTTAAAAGTAGCAAGAGAAAGTTAGTTACCTATAGGGGAATACCCATACAACTGTCAGCTGATTTCTTAACAGAAACTTTGCAGGCCAGAAGGGAGTGGCAAGAAATATTCAAAGTGATGAACAGCAAGAACCTACAACCAAGATTACTCTACCCAGCAAAGCTATCATTCAGAATTGAAGGTCAGATAAAGAGCTGCACAGATAAGAAAAAGCTAAAGGAGTTCATCACTACCAAACCAGCATTATATGAAATGCTGAAAGGTATCCTTTAAGAAGAGAAAGAAGAAGAAAAAGCTAAAGTTACAAATTATGAACAACAAATACACATCTATCAACAAGTGAATCTAAAAATCAAGTGAATAAATAATCTGATGAACAGAATAAACCAGTGAATATAATAGAATCGGGGGCATAGAAAGGGAATGGATGGCTATTCTTGGGGGGAAAAGGGGTGTGGGGAGTGTGGGAAGAGACTGGACAAAAACTGTACACCTATGGATGAGAATAGTGGGTGGCGGGGGTAAGGGCTGAGGTTGGGGTGGGAACCGGGTGGAGGGGAGTTATGGGGGGAAAAAAGAGGAACAACTGTAATAATCTGAATAAAGATTTAATTTAAAAAAAATTTAGATTCCAATATGACCCTACTCTCATCTGATAAAACCTATCAAGAAACTATTTCTATAACAAGAAATTACGGGAAGTATGCAGTTTGGACTACTGCAGTGTTACACCTGAGACAGAACATAGCATGGGACTGTGAGGGCAACCACTTCTATACTGTTCTAGTCAGGGGCTTGGCATGGTATTTGACACATAGTAAATAGTTAACAATAAGTGTTAAGACCCACTTTCTTTCTCCTCTTCTTTTATTGGTGGGAGAAATTTGGGGGGAGGGCTCATATCATAACTCCTTGCATAGGTGCAAGCACACAAAATTTGATAAAACCCTCTTTATCCTCAGAAGGCTTGATATTCCTTCCTAGAACATACCCATTCCCCCAACTGCCCACTTTTCCTTGCCTTGGCATAGAGTTGATATTCCTCCTTAGCATAGAACATGAAGCCTTCATTAGTCTATAGCCTTATCTACCCTTCCCAGCTTTATATGTGGCCTTGCAGCTAAAAACAAAAATCTGATCCCCAAAACATTAACATATACTTAAGAAGCACATTTCTTAACATAAATCAGGGAATCCTAACAGGAAAGTTTTTATACTGTGAAAAAAACTACTTGCTTGGGTTTAAACTAGTATGATATCACCTTTCATTTATTGTTAAATCCTTAGAATATGTTTATTGATATTAGAGAAAGGACGCGTGGGAGGGAGGGGGAGAGAGAAAGAGAGAGAGAAACATTGTTCAGTTGCCTCCTGCATGTGACCCGACCGGGAATCAAACCTGTGAACCCCTGGTGTATGGGACAATGCTCCACCCAACTGAGTAACACTGGCCAGGGCTGCATATTACTTTTTTCTTTTTTTCAATTTTGTTTTATTGCTTAAAGTATTACAAAGAGGATTACATATGTCCCTTTTTTTTTACGCCCTTTGACCTTCCCCCAGCCTCCCCTAACAAAGAAGATTACATATGTCCCTTTTTTTTTTACGCCCTTTGACCTTCCCCCAGCCTCCCCTAACCCCCAGTGTCTTGTGTCCATTGGTTATGCTTATATGCATGCATACAAGTCTTTCGGTTGATCTCTTACCCCCCGCCTCCACTCCTCTCCAACCCTCCCCAGCCTTCTCGCTGTAGTTTGACAGTCTGTTCGATGCTGTTCTGCATATTACTTTTTAAGAAATTAAAATATCCAAAAGTAGACATTTGGTAGGGAGAAGGTAATATTTTTTTTTTTTTACTTTTGAGCAGCTAATAACATTTTAAATAAAAAGGACTATATCTTTCTGATATAAGCCAGACTGTATTTCCTATACCCATTAATAAAGAGGAATACATACAGAGAGAGGCATCTTAAAAAGCCATCACTTTCTCCATCTTCAAGAAAGTTCCTGTGTGCTTGTGAACTTCTCATTTGTAGATCTGGTGAAATAACAAGGCACATGTTTGATATCTTATACTCAAAAGATAGACCCAAATGACTACTTCTAGATCTATACATTTAATAATGAATGAAAGTTCCTATGGCACATCAAAAACTAAATAGATATTCTACTACCTTAAGGATTTCTTATTTTGTTTCCAAATTCTCATTGACATTGAAGCTTTCAATTTAATTACATGTGGGCTTAAATAATGGAATCTGGTTTATTCTAATGTAAAGTTAAAGATGGCCTTATGTACTGTCATTACCCACCCAGCAAAATCATTAGGAAGTTAATTAAATCAGTATCTAAAGTAAGGTAGAAGATAGTACATTTTAAAAGGTAAACTCAGCTTTAGCTTGATCGTTTTATATCCCCATGAGTTAAAATTCACTTCTAGTATGGAAATCAAAATAGAATAGGAGCTCATACTTTTAGGGTAGTTTCACTATTTGGTTAGTTTATTGGGATGTATCAGAATATTTCATTAGTTTATACTCACAACATCCTTCAAAGCAAACTAAATGGTTTTAAAATACTGGTTCTCGCCGACACCGGTTTGGCTCAGTGGATAGAGCATCAGCCTGCGGACTGAAAGGTCCCAGGTTCGATTCCGGTCAAGGGCATGTACCTGGGTTGTAGGCACATCCCCAGTAGGGGATGTGCAGGAGGCAGCTGATCGATGTTTCTCTCTCATCGATGTTTCTAACTCTCTATCTCTCTCCCTTCCTCTCTGTAAAAAATCAATAAAATATATTAAAAAAAAAAATACTGGTTCTCTAAGTGTGGTCCTCAGACCAGCAGCATCAACAAAATCTGGCAATTTGTTAGAAATGCAAATTCTCAGGTCCTTTCCCAGATCTAGAAAATTGGAAACTTTGGTGGTGGGACTCAGAAATCTGTTTTAACAAGCTATCCAGATCCTAATGCACATTAAAGTTTGAGAACCACTGTTTTAGAAATTATTTGTTCATATTCTATTAGTGTAAAAACAATCATGCAACCAATTCTACACAACCAGATTTGATTGCTAATGTTTTTTATCCCAAGCTGCGTAAAAGAAAACTTACAGGACATTTTGCTTAGCGATGATTCTTTCAAATTTGTAGGCTCCTGTTCCAACTGTGATGCATACTGGATTTCTGGCTTAGACTTAAATGATAATGAAAGCAATTAAGTCATTTGTACTCTTTAAGCCTTTCTCAGTAGAAAGTTCTGTAACATATCATCTCTATAAACATTCAAATTGAGAAAAAGTAACAAAGTATGGCATTAAAAATAAAGCATATTAACCACAATATACTTTAATTACACTTCCTAAACATCAGATCCAGTGCCTTGCAAACAGACACAGACTTTTGGCATCATCAAATATTGTTTAACTTCCTGACAGCATAAAAAAAATAAAAAAGGACAAATCATAGCATACTGCATTAAATATCATACTTTGCAAAAATGTCTTCTAATTCTAGTTGATCAGGAATAATTTAGCAGACTGCCAAAGTATTTGACTAAACACTTATTATCTCTATTTTTCCTCAACTGAAACATTCCATTTTTCCCTAAGTGTAATTCATAAATTACAGCTAAAGACTCCATACTTTACATATAGCACTGACCCTCTGGAATGGGGGCTTCTATAGCCTAGTTACACTCAAATTGACACAAAGAGAGAAATAGCTAATCTCACATCTAATCAGGAATGAATGAGGTCTTCACTCTAGGAGTCAATTTATGCTTTACCTTAAGTTGCTTTAAGACACAAAACTTGCCCTAACCGGTTTGGCTCAGTGGATAGAGCATCAGCCTGCGGACTGAAGGGTCACAGGTTCGATTCCAGTAAAGGGCATGTACCTTGGTTGTGGGCACATCCCCAGTGGGGGCTGTGCAAGAGGCAGCTGGTGATGCTTCTCTCTCATCAATGTTTTTAACTCTCTATCCCTCTCCCTTCCTCTCTGTAAAAAATCAATAAAAAAATATTTTTAAAAAAAGACACAAAACTTACTGAATTTAAAGAGAGAAAATCACATATTAGCTTTACAGTAAGCCACTCACTTAGAAATAATAATTAAAGGTTCACTTTAATTAATACCTGAGAGAAAGACAGTACCGCAACATAATTTGTGGGCTGGTAAATTTAAGAAATTTGCCCTGGCCAGGTGGCTCAGTTGGTAGAGAGAGCATCGTCCTGTACACCAAAAGGTTGCGGGTTTGATTCCCAGTTGGGGCACATACCGGAGGCTACTGATCGATGTTTCTCTCTCACACTGATGTTTCTCTCTCTCTAAAAAAAAAAAAAAAAAAATCAATACAAACATATCCTCAGGTAAGGATTAAATAAATAAAAATAAAAAGAAGACAATGTTCTAGGGTGGTATATGAGCCTATGAGTTAAAGTGACCTGAGTCTAAAGCTTATTTTTGTTACTGACAGGGTGACCTTAAACAAGTTAGACTCAGTTTCCTCATCAATAAAATAGGGATAATACAACCTCATGAAGTTGTTTGAAGATAAAATACGTAAGTCCCTAGTACATAAGAACTTTACTATTATTATCACATCACATGATAAATAATGAAGTAGAAGAAAAGTTACTTCTCTAGGAGGCAATATGCTTCTTCAATAAGTTCTCTTGTAAGAGTTCTGAGGAAAAGCACTAAAAACAACTAAAAATTACATCATATTGCTTTTCTCCAATATAAATATAGGATATAAATACATGCCACTATTTATATTCTAAGTATTTTAATTATTCCTATTTCCCATATCTAGAGGTTTCATTTTATCAATTTAACCACTATAAAATTTAGAAGATTCAGAGTTCTTGTTAGATAAGGATTGAGGGCTTCAGATAGGCTTCCAATTGGCAGAGGGGAGGGTAAGTCACATTGTGTCATGATGCCCAATGTTTTCATTAAGCCAAATAATTATTATTTGATGATAAATATTTTTAAGTGGCATGGCTCTATGCCAAGACATTCATTTGAGACATATACATTTACTGTTGCTGGTATTTACTAGTAGATGAATATATGAAGAAAAGTTGTCACCTGGAATATAACTAATTTTCCATCATCAGCTTGAAGATAAAAAGTCCATGAAGAGGTTATGAAGCTCTGTGCAGAGTCCATCATGCCACTCCAGAATGACCGTACCAGAGTTAGAGGGAAGAGTAGATGCATTTTTGGCATCAGAGACATGAGCTTAAAAAAAAAAAAGTCATAATAAATACATTTTATATATATACATATACATATATATATATATATTCAAGAGAGCAAGATAATCAAATCCTTATTAGGACAGGGTATAAAGCATTAAGTGAATCTATTATAATTAGCACTCAAGTAAACTCTTAGTTATCTATGCAAATTGACTATGGTAAAGCTGAAAATCCCTTTAATTTCTATCAAACACATTTATAAGCTACTTGTCACCTGTATCAGAATAAAAGGCTTTTGAATCAGATAAAAAAAATATGGAGACTCTTGCTTCGGCTGGTTTTCTTAGTGGTTTGAGCCCCAACCCTTGGACCGAAGAGTTGTGGGTTCAATTCCCAGTCAAGGGCACATACCTTGGATGCAGGTTTGATCCCTGGTCCCAGTTGGGGCTCGTGTGGGAGGCAACCAATCAATGTGTCTGTCTCATGTCAATGTTTTTTTCTCTCTCCTCCCTTCTCTCCCTTCCACTCTGTCTGAAAATCAATGGAAAAAATATCCTTGGGTGAGGATTAAAATAAATACATGTCAAACATGGAACTACCGTATGACCCAGGAATTCCACTTTTGAGTGTAGACCCAAAAGAACTGAAAGCAGGGATTCAAAAATACTGGTACATCCATGTTCACAGAAGCATTATTCACAATAGCCCCAAAATGCAAACAACCCAAGTGTCTACTGATGAATGAATGGATAAACAATGTGGTGTATAGGATTCAGCCTTAAAAAGGACATTCTGACACCTGCTACAACATGGATGAACCTTGAAAATATTACGCTCAGTGAAATAAGCCAGTCACAAAGGAACAGATGTTGTGCGATTCCACTCATAGGAGGTCCCTAAAGGAGTCAAATTCATAGACACAAAAAGTGGATGGGTCTGGGGCTGGGGATTGGGGGAGTCAGTATTTACAGGGGACAGAGTTTCAGGTGGGGAAGATGAGAAAGTTCCAGAGATGGATGGTGGGGATGGTTGTACAGCAATGTGAATGTACTTAATGCCACTGAACTACACTTAAAAATGGTAAAAAAAAAAAAAAAAAAAAAACAAAAAAAAAGAAAGTAAATATCTGGACAAAGACTAAAAGATAAACTAGAGGGGGTTAAAGTGGGAAAATAGTTTGGAAGTTAATTTAATTTAGTAATGTAGATGAGAAATGATGATGGTCTGAGTTAAGGTAATTGCAGTTGGGATGAAAAAAAGACACTGAACTATCAATTTCCCTGAGCCTCAGTTTTTTCTTATGTAAAAGGGGGATAAAATCTTCACTAGCCAACGAGAAAAAACAAAGTGAGATTATGTATGTGAACATATCTTTTAACAGTAAAGCATCATAGAAAAATGTAATTGATTTGTCTATGTGCAAACATATAACTTGTTTGCTGAAAACTAATTTAAAATATAACACTAAAATAGGATCAAGTGGGTGATAAATATTTCAATACAAGTAAGTGCAATACAAGCAGGCAATTTTGAAAGGCAGTTTTGTCTCATACTTGTTCTTGTCTCAATTCAGCAAATGGCAGCTGATTCTGGCAACCAAGATGGCAAGCATATTGCTCATCAGATTGGGAATATGCTTCTGTACATGCTGTAAGAGAAAAACAATCAAATTACAAGAAAGAGACAGAAAGAGAGAAAGTAAAGGAATTTGGCATTTTATGAAGAAATTTATTACACTAAAACTAAAGGCCTGGTGCACGAAATTCGTGCACTGGAGGGACGGGGCAGGGAGGGGGGCCTCAGCCCCGTCTGCACCCTCTCACAGTTCGGGATCCCTCACTATTTACCACCCACCTGCTTGCTGCTCCTTAGTGCTACTGCGGAGGGGGGAGAGGCTCCCACCACTGCCCCTGCGCTCGCCAGCCATGCGCCCAGCTTCTGGCTGAGCAGTGCTCCCCATGGGAGCACACTGACCACCAGGGGGCAGCTCCTGCATTGAGCATCTGCCCCCTGGTGGTCAGTGCACATCACAGCAACCGGCTGTTCTGGTCATTCTGTCATAACAGTCACTTAGGCTTTCATTATATAGATAACATTTCATCAATATGCATTTCCAAATTTGGTAATAGTAGCAAATGTATCCTATCCTATATAATAAAAGCGTAGTATGCAAGCTGTCCCCTCAACTGGGAGGTCATCCGGGAGTTTGACCAGGGGGCAGGGCCGGCCAGGGGAAGGGAGGGAGGCCCCAGGGGCGGCAGGGAGGCCCCGACCGGCAGCCAGCAGCCACTAGGGACCTTACCAGTGCACGAATTTCCTGCACTGGGCCTCTACCTATTTTAATAAAACCCCTATCTTTTATCACCCACAAGTCAAATATTTCAGGTATAAATCTATTAATTACACACTCAAGCTCCTATATGATGACATTTATAAGAGGGGAGCTTCTTGCTAAGGTTTACACAGTGGAAAACATTGAACAGATAACCTCATTGAATAGGCAACCTCAAGTTTTGGCTCTATCATTTGTTGGTTGTTTATGTGACTAGGGCTAACTGTTTAACCTCTCTGACTACTGAATTCCATAAGTCTAAAATGGAAATACAACCACCTTGGCAAGGAAAAAATAGAAGAATTAGTTTAACACCCTAAATTCTAAGAAAATGGAACTTAGAAAATGTTCTACAGCAGGATTCTAAAGTTGAAATGGGTCTCTACCAGATATACCCTCTTCTTTTACCAGAGACAAATCTTTCTTATGATAGAACACTTCACCATTATAACAATCCTATTTTTCTTTCCAACTCCGTCATGTACTTGTAATATACTTCTCAAAGATGCTAGATAATAAACTGAACAGCATTATGCACACATAAAGATGGCCAGTTTAGGAGTCTGAGCCATAAAAAACAAGGTTATGATATCACAGAGGCTGGATGTTAGTCATGGCATAGTGATAAGGAGTAAGACACCTCCTGCTACACTGAATAAACAGTGTAATATAATGAAAAGAGAAAATTCCATTATAGTTCTTTAAAAAGTTAAATGTCAATTTTATCTTTATTATAGGTTTTTTTGTGTTTTTTTTAAATTAAACACCTCTTTCAGCAAAAATAAGAACAGTGGTTTAAGAGATGACAAAGACTCTGGTTACTTCTTTTATTGGCATGGCCCACAGAAGAATACACTATTAAATACTGAGTCAAAGGCCTGATTCAGTAAAAAAAAAAACTTGGAGCTAAGCAAACTAGCCAACGGTTGAAAGGCTTAGGAAAATTATACTATCTCTTGAAAAGGTAGTGATAAATTATGGGAAGGCTAATTACTACTGCATTTGTCTAAACCAAATACTTGTTTAAACAAAGGTGTCCTATCCACAGTACAAAATAAACGCTATCTCAACAAAAGATGAAATTTAAAGACCATAAAATTTCTAGCAGCAGCTACTAAAACTCTAACTTCATAACAATTAAAATATGCTGGATGACTAGTTTAAACATTATGCTTCTCATTTTCTGAGGAAAATACATTAAAAGTATAACACAGCTCAGAGAAAACATCAATGCTATAGACTGTTGATGTCATTAGCATAGCATCTTACCAGATTCGCATTCCAATTTGGTCCGATTTAAATCAATTCCATCATCCACAAACTGACAAATTGAAAACAGCCTGCAACCTCTCTGACATGCGTACAACTCCTCTTCCTAGGGAATTCAAGAACAGGGAGGATTACAAAAAAAATGTATTTCCCTCAGGGAAAAAAGGTCAGAAGAAAGCAAAGTTAGTAGGTTTATTATAAACTGCCCAATAAAAAAATTTTATAACTGAAAGAAAAACGACAGGAGCCAGGTAATGCCCAAGACCTTTCCCATATAAAGAAGTTTTAGTTTCTTGTTTATGAAGTGATATCAAAGAAAGAAGTCTAGTGAGTAAAATCACTCTTCTCCTATTATTTCGTGGGGGGTGGGGGATTGAAAATAAAAATAACAACGACATAATCAGAACTTTAACAAAGATAGAAATGAGTAAGCAAGTACCTTAGGACAAATAGCATACTTCTGCCCATAAATATTTATACAAATCATTAAGCTTATCAGGAAAAGTATCATGATTAGCTTCACAGGGCCAATAGTGCTATAAAGGCCCCCACAAAGTGAGGTGTACATCTATACAAATACTTACATAAAAGGATTTTTAAAACTTGGCTTATTTACTAAAAATACAAACAAGAGCAACAGTATGTTATATGGGAAAGGCCAATGGAATTAGCCAGACCTGGACTGAAACCTTTTAGGTGAGTGACCCAGCACAAGTTACTTTACTTATCTAAAACTCAGTTTTTTTCATCATAAAAGGAGATAATAACTATAAATTATCTCCAATCCCTTCAATACTGCTGGAAATAGCTATTCCTAGCACAGTGCCTGGGACATACAAGTACTCAATAAATGGTAGTGTTAATCATAATAATAGAGTTTTTAAAGAGAAAATAAGTTATAGACACCATTGTGTATGTGTGTGAGCTCAAGGTAGGATATATTCTTCATTACTGGAAAATGTTACCTGCTTAGTTAAGACTAATGGCAATGTCTTCAACAGGCTTTCTGTCAATGACCTACACATAGTATTTGAAACAAACCAGTACATGTGGGGAAGCCCCCTCAACTTACTATGTGATCCACTGTGTACAAACTGGCAGGAACCAAAAAAAGGAAGGAAACAGCATGTGCATATACCAGTTTGCAACCAATGGAATACAAATAGCATTTCTTCCCAGCAAAGGATTAGTAAAATCTATGTGGCAGCAGCAATCCATTAGGAAGAGATGGCTGCAGTCTACTATTAAGCAAGCCTTGAAGGCAGCACATTTCTGGACCTCAGTTCTAGTTGCACTTATTTTTAAGATGAAACTGAAAGAGTTTTAGCAATTAAAATAAATTTCATACCTGAGTAGCTTTTGCAGACTTTGTACAACAATGAAAGAACTTTCATGTCTTTGGAGTACCACACATTTCCTTAAATTGCACAGAGGAAGCATGAGCTCATTGTTAAGAGCTTTACTGAATGCCATTTCCTTTTCAGATATGTTTTCTTTTGTTAAACCAACCCAATAAGCCCTCCAGTACCTTTTTTTTTTTTTTAATCCTCACCGGAAGACATGCTTAGGGAAAGGAAGGGGAAGAGAGAGGGAAGGGAAGAGAGAGAGAGGGGAAGAGAGAGAGAGAAACATCCATAGGTTACCTTCCATAAGTGCTCCACTGGGGGATTGAAACCTAAATACAGGTATGTGTGACACTCAACCAACTGAGCCCCTCTGGCCAGGCTCCAGTACCATTTTCAGAAGAGAACATGTATAGCATGGTGAAAACAGTCTAGATTTAAAGCTCAGCCCCACCATTTGTACAACCCTGGGCAAGTAACCTAATCTTTCAGCCTCAGTTTCCTTACGTGTAAAATAGGAACAATCTTTCTTCAAGATTATGTCAATCTTGAATATGAGGGTTGTACATTTTATATTCACAATATCATTAATATTGTGCTATACAAATAAATAGACATAACATTAATAATATATTTAATGAGCACCCATAATGTGCCAGGCACTGAACTAACACTTAACATCTGATACAACACTTGGCACAGAGTAGGCACTCAAAAATCATTATGAAGAATCATATCCTTATTCTAAGTACGTGTTTCATGTTCTAGGTAATATTATTACTCTGAGTAAATGATTCATGCCCCCTGTATCCCAAATGACTGGCAAGCATTTACCAAATACTAAAGGCCTGGTGCACGAATTCATGCATGGGTGGGAGGGGCCCTCAGCCCAGCCTGCACTTTTGAAATCCGGGACCCCTCAGGGGATGTCTGACTGCCAGTTTAGGCCTGATCCCTCTCGCAATCCGGGACTGCTGGCTCCTAACCGCTCACCTGCCTGCCTGCTTGTTCGCCCTGAACCCCTCTGCCTGCCTGCCTCATTGCCCCTAATTGCTCGCCTGCCTGCCTGCCTGATCACCCCTACCACCTCTGCCTCGGCCCCACTGCCACAGCTTCATCCAGAAGGATGTTCGGCTGTCTGGTCTAATTAGCATATTATGCTTTTATTATTATAGATATTTCCTCTGATTTAGAGCATAAGGAAATGGTGCTCCCCATCAAATGGAAAGCCACCTAAATAATTACAATGAATTTCAATAATACATTTATAGATTTTATGTGCCTTTTCACATCCTGAGCTAAGCAAAGCTAACTAACTATTCTCTTATTATTCAGCACTTAGGCAGTTGCTGAGAATGCCACATATATTATCTTTAATTCTCACACTAGCTCTGCAGGGTGTGAAGGTTTTTTCTATAGCTGACAAAACAACATAAGGAGAAGTTATGTGATCAGCAAGGACACACAGATAGTAAAAGTGGAGCTGTGGATGTAACCTGGGTTTGTATGGTTCCAGAGCCCACACTTTGTAAAAAAATATGACCAGGCTTGGACCTAGTCAGCTTTGTTATTAATATAAACTTATGTCTCTTGTATTTAGACCCTGGCAAATTATGCAACTGCATTTTTAAGGAAAGTTAAAGGGTAAAATATCGTAATTTAAAAATAATTACTTACAAATAGTTAAGGTATTGTACTTTCTTACAACAACATACTTCTGGAAATAAGTCATTAAAATAAGATTTCTATCTGCCAGCTACAAATGCCAGACCAAGAGAGGCTATGTGAGCTTGTAAATTCATCTAATTTCTTATATAACACACTGCTTTTTTTCCCCTGAACTGCAAAGTACAATAATTGGGAGGAGGGCCAACAGAAATCAGTGAAATAAGTAAATTATTTTTAATAGAACGTTTTGATAAAAGGCAGCACAGTATAGCTGGTTTTAGGACTGAGTTCCCACTACTCCACTAGTTATTGGCTATGTGACCTTGGGCAAGTCACTTAACCTTTCAGAGCCTCAATTTCTTCAACTGTAAAACCTACTTAGCCGTGAGAATTAGGGATAATGGGTAATCTCTCATCAAACCAGCTAACAGAAGGTAGACAGTTAATACATTTTAAGTCCAGTATTTCCAGGGAGCCAGATGATTTAGAGTTCCTGGTGAAACAACTTTAAAGAATAAGTAAAAATAGCTTAGAGATCACACAGTTTTTTTAGGAAGTAGTGGATATTATAAAAGTACTTAAAAGTTTCAGAAATGTTTATCTTTTCAATTTACTTAGTTATTCTCCCAGGATTCTGGTTCATACTGCAAATTTGCTAGGAAAAATCAGAAATAAAAGCCAAAACCAAATAGTTGAATGATACAAAATAAGTCTCCATGCCAATCCAGGTCAAATCAATATTAATGAGTTTCCCCATACAATCCTCTCAGATGAGAGGTTTGTAAGAGAAGAAGGTAATTTAGGGATAGTATACATTCAGTCTGGAAATCAGAATGTCTCACTTCTCTCTCTTGCTATATTAGTCTCTGACTGAAAATTTTAGGATAATACCCCCTTCCACATTTTCTCTTGAAAACGGATAATCCGCAGGCAATGTAAACAGACATATGGGAAGTGCTAGCATTTAGGACTGGCCATTTTCAAAGACCTGAAAACACTCGCCAATAAGGAACATCCTGATGTCACTGGGCCTATCCTCCTGGTCACTTTGTAGACCGAGAGCGCAAACAAAATGGGCTCGCCACGCCACGCCACGCCACGCAAACAACACAGGGCGGAAGGGAAAACAAGAAGAGAAAGACCAGCAACGGCAGCAAAAGCTCTTGCAAATAAAGGCAGTGGGGTGGGGAGGGCATATACCCAAATTATATATGGGAAAGGGTGAGGGAGTTCACCCCACGATTTAGAATGTTGAGTAAACAGAGTTCTCAAGAAGCTGAAAAAAACAACTTGAGAAGTAGAATGGAATTAAGGAAAGACAGCACCTGGGGGGGGAGGGGTGGGGGAGGGAGGGGCAGTGAAAGTAGGGTGACCCCTTCCTCCGTGAGAGGCGGTCTCATTTCTTGACTCACTTCACTGAATGGTAAATTCTTTCAATGCAGATGCATCGACCTGCTTCTTCCCTAAGCCACCCCAGGCCCTAGCGGCGGAGCCCGGCACACAGTAATTAACACAGGCTTTGGAAAGCCCTGTCTGTGCGTCTCACAACTCCTCGGGCTGCTGAATGTTTCATACCATAGTCACCATGTATGGCATAGTGGGACGGTCTGCTCGTCTGACTCCCGGAACAGACGCTTAGCTCCCGGCCCGGGGAGGTGCTCCGTAAACACGGTTCATGAAGGAACCCTTTGTGGGCTCGCGTTTCTGCCCCCCGCCCCCGCCGTTCCTTAGGCTCCCTGAAGGTGGGGGTCCGTCTGAACAGGCAGCATCCCCCTCCCGCTTGGAGTGCACTGCTGCCCCGCAAGCTCTTTCTCATCTCCGCATCCCCCGGCCCCCTACAGGGTCGGTGCAGCACAAACTTCCGGCAATTACAGCGGGAGCGGTGCGAGTGGGGTTAGGGAGGAAAACAGGAGCGACACAGGTGGGAGACAGCGGCTGAATGGCGGATTCAACGGCCAGCTTCCCGGAGCCGACAGAGGAGCGCGAGGGCAGAAAGACGAACAGTCAGGGAAGGGTGGTAGCCCGGTTCAGACGGGCCCTACCTTCGGGTAGGTGTGCAAGGGGTAGGTCAACTGACAGGCCCGGTGGCAAGACGCCGTATCCCCCAACACCGAGTCAAACGCTTCGGCCGAGGCGGTCCCCGAGCCTCCGGCCAGGGCCACGGTCAGCAGCAGCAGCGGCGGAAGCCCCAGCTGGGCCCTGACCCGGAGGCTCCCTCTCGGCACCGCCATTTTGTTTCCCTCTGTCAAAGCAGCTCAGCTTGTTGCTGTTTTCTTTTCAGGATTTCCTCCTCCTTCCGGGGCCAGCCCCTTCCCCGCCCCGCCCCCGGCTGCCGCTTCCGCCTCCGCTGTCCCGCTCAGAAGAGGTGGAGCCAACCCTCGCGAGCATTGGAGTGAACCGGCATCCGGGACCCCGTTCTTCCTTTGCGGGGCACGCTGGGGCATGTAGTTCTTCACCGGCGGGAGGCGCCCTGGCGGTCGGGAAAGCTAGTCTCGGAGAACTACAGTACCCTGGGGGCGACCTCGCCCGCCCCTTCGCAGTGCATTCTGGGGAGTGTGGTTTGCAGTGTCGCTGAAGCTCTCGACGGGCGGACGTCTCTCCCGAGAAACTACCAACCTGGAAGGAAGCGTCTGTTTAGTTTCATCAGGCCGAGACTGGGGAAGAAACTGTTTAACGGACTCTTCGCAACCGTAGTTCTCTGGAGGGGCCTCGCTGCTGCCAGGCTGCTTTTCCTGGTGCGTTTCACGTCAGATCGTTGCTAGGTCCCCTTTCCTGGGCTCAGGAGTGCTGAGGGCAGAGGAAGATGGTATTTAATAGCATTTTCGCTCGGGGATCGAGAAGCCCATAGTCGTGGATAGGGAGGGCTCTGGGTCCACAAGCAGTTCCTGGAGACAGGGACTTGTTGCGAGGACTTTGCTGAGATCTGGTTACTAGGGAAAACCTTGGGATTGCAGCAGTGTTGGGGTAGCTATTAAGAGAGCTTCATCGCACCCACTGGAACTTGATCCTGCCACAACCCAACCTAAGTTGGAAGAGGTTTGTCATTAGGTTCGACGCCTGGCCCAGTATTGGGCTCCCCTCCACAGCGTGCACTTTTGAAAATAGGCACTTTCTGACCCAGATAGTAGACCCGTTATTGTACAAGTTTCAGGTCTTGGGAAGATGTTTCTTTTTCAAGACAAAATCTTCCCATAAATTCCATCCAGTAGTCCTCATAATCCAGGGAACCTTCCAGAATCCAGAGTGTATAGACCACAGTTGTGTCATTTTAGGGAACACACATCCCAGCAGTTAGGACGTTTTAGAACCTGCCCTCTTTTCTTGAGCAGAACATACTGCAAGCACATGGAGGTAGTCGGAGGGCCCTAGCAATGGATAAATTCGTCATTCGAACGCCTAGACTCCAGAGTAGTCCTCAGAAGAAAGGTCCTGGAGGCAAGATTTACAAGCAGGCCACAATCGAATCTCTGAAGGTGAGAAGGGGACCTGGGACTAGAGAAAATGTGCCACGGGCTGTGATGGCAAGGTGGTGTGAGCTCTGTGGAAGACCTGTGTGCTATTTTTGCATTACTTCCCAGTGTTCCTGGCCACTCCTAATATGTTTCCCCTGTACCCTGTACTGATTTCGATTGATAAGTTCCAGGACGTCTCTTACACTTGCCTAATTACTTTGGCTTAATGGTAAGTTTTGGTAGCTGGTAGGACAAACCCCCGGTGTTATTCTTCTTTTGCAAAATTTTGTCTATTAGGAATGTTCAAGTACCAAGTATGAGTTTATGTACCCTGTATAAACTCAGTCAGGCTGGGTGATGATACTGTACTCTCCTAGCTTTTGGGTCCGAACTGTATCACGAGACCTCCATCGCTATTTCTGAGATTGGGGAAGAGACGATTTTAATGGACTCTTTGCAACCTGAGTGTGAGTCAAGGAATAGATACAAGGATAGACAACCAACAGTGAGTCAGCCAACATAGATACTCAATTAATGGTAAAATAGTTATTTCACTAAAAACAAAAAACTGCTTGTAATTAGTTCGCTTTGTCTTCTTAAACCTCTCTTCCTACATATTGGACTTTTTCTTTTCTGTTTCCTTTATTGGTTCCCCTTCCTCCACTAGACTTCTAATGTTTGTGCTCCCAAGAGCTTACCTGACTCAGATTAGAAAGCAGTGAAGGGGCGTATAAACAGAAGCCCTGGGTTCTAGTCTTTACTGTGCAACTGATCTTTAGCAAGCCGTTTTCTCCTCTGGGATCTCAGTTTGTCCTCCCCATAAAATGAAGGGTTGCGCCCTACCTGGTTTGGATCAGTGGACACAGCATTGGCCTGCGGACTGAAGGGTCCCGGGTTCAATTCTAGTCAAGGGCACATGCCCCGGTTGTGGGCTCAATCCCCAGTGGGGGGTGCCTGCAGGGAGGCAGCCATTCAATGATTTTCTCTCATCATTGATGTTTCTATCTCTCCCTCTCCTTTCTTCTCTGAAATCAATAAAAATATATATATTAGAAAATGTAGGGTTAAGTAATATCAGTGTTTCTTTAAAGGAGCACTATTGTCATTTGGGGTAAGATAATTCTTCATTATTTGGAACTGCCCTGTGAGTTGTAGGAAGTTTAACATCCCTGGCCCTCAGATACTAAATGCCAATAGCACCTCCCACTGTGATAACTGTGGGCTACAAGGCTGCTGTGGGCACAGGGGCAGGTCTTGGCCCATCCTCTGTGCCCCCGCCCAGCCCCTCCTGCCACAGCCCCGGTCCCCTGTCTGCTGATGGCCCCGCCTCCACCAGCACCCCTCCC